GCTATTATATAAATGAAACTTGTCAACATTTGGAAGATCTGTGTAACTCAGTGAATCAGTATTTTCTGAATCACCAAGCTTGATGGTATAAAATCGTACATGAGTAAATGATACATTTAAAGTGCAGGATACTGATTTTAAAGTATAGTGCAAAACTATAGTAATCCAAACAGCATGGTACTGGCATAAAAACAGACACACAGATCAATGGAACAGACTTGAGAGCCCGGAAATAAACCCACACATTTATGGGCAGCTAATTTTTGACAAAGGAGCCAAGAACATACAATGGAGAAAGGAAATCTCTTTAATAAATGTTGTTGGGGAAAACTGGACAGCCACATGCAAAAGAATGAGAGTAGACCACTGTCCTATAGCATACACAAAAATTAACTCAAAATGGATTAAAGACTTGAATGTAAGACCTCTGAAGCCATAAAAATCCTAGAAGAAAACATAGGCAGTACACTCTTTTAACATCAGTCTTAGCAGCATCTTTTCAAATACAATGTCTACTCAGGCAAGGGAAACAAAAGAAAAGATAAACAAATGGTACTACATCAAACTGAAAAGCTTCTGCATGGCAAAGAAATCATCAACAAAATGAAAAGACAACCTACCAGTTGGGGGAAGATATTTGCAAATCATATATCTGACAAGGGGTTAATATCCAAAATATATAAAGAACTCATACAACTCAACAACAAAAAACAAACAACTTGATTAAAAAACGGGCAGAGGATCTGAACAGACATTTTTCCAAAGAAGATATACAGATGGCCAGCAGGCACATGAAAAGATGTTCAACATTACTAATTATTAGGGAAATGCAAATCAAAACCACAATGAAATATCACCTCGTGCCCATCAGAATGGCTATTATTAAAAAGACAAGAAATAATAAGTGTTGGAGAGGGTGTGAAGAAAAGGGAACCCTAGTACACTGCTCGTGGGAATGTAAAATGGAAAACAGTATGGAGATTTTTCAAAAAATGAAAAGCAGAACTACCATATGATCCAGCTATTCCACTTCTGGGTACGAAACTATGCAGAACACGAAAACACTAATTTGAAAAGATATATGCAACCCTATGTTCATTGTGGCATTATTCACAATAGCTAAGACTTGAAAGCAACCTGAGTGCCCATCAAGGGACGAATGGATAAAGAAGAGGTGGTATATATACACAATGGAATACTACTAAGCCATAAAAAAGGTGAAATCTTGCCATTGTGACAACATGAATGGACCTTGAGGGTATTATGCTAAGCAAAATAAGTCAGAGAAAGCCAAATAACCACATGCTTTCACTTATATGTGGAAGATAAAACAAGAACGACAACAACAGCTACAAACACACACATAGATACAGAGAATAGATTGGTGGTTACCAGAAGGGAAGGGGGTGGGGAGAGGGCAAAAGGGATAAAAGGGCAAATTTGAACAGTGATGGATGGCAACTAGACTTTTGGTGGTGAACACAATGTAGGCTGTACAGAAGTTGACATATAATGATGTACACCTGAAATTTATATAATGTTATAAACCAATGTTATCTCAATAAAAACATAAAAAATAAAGTGCAGGATAGATGGATAAATTTTAATGTAAGAGTATGAAATGTTTATCAATATAGTTTCAGATTCCACATTGCAACTATCCTTTAAGAAACTACCACTTACTGAATTTTGGTGTAGTGTCAAAGAAGAATATCCAGAATTATTTGAAAAAGCTATTAATACTCCTCTCTTTTCAAAGTACGTATTTGAGTGAGCCTGGATTATCTTCATATGGTTCAACCAAAAACACATATTGCAACATTGGATATAAAAGCAGCTATGAGAATCCAGCTCTTTTATTAAACCAGACATTAAAGAAATTTGCAAGAATATAAAACAATGCCATGATATAGTAGGTTTGTTATTTTAAAATGAATAAGCATTTAAAAAATTTTTCAGTTTTTATTTTTAATGTAGTCAATTTAACTCATATAATTCATATATACAGAAGCTCTTTGGGGTCCTCAATACTTTTTAAAAGTGTAAGTTTCCTGAGACCAAAATGTGTAAGAACCTCTGGTGTAGTGCTTAAGTGGGCACTTGGAGCCAAATTGCTTAAGTTCAAAACCTGGCTTTGTTGTTTAATAGCTCTATGACCTTGAACAAGATATTGAATTACTTTTTGCCTCAGTTTCCTCATCTATAAAATGGTATAGTAATATAATTTATAAAGTTGTTATAAGGATTACCTTGAATATATGAAAATTTCTTAGAGCTTGTATAGCATTCAGCAAGTTATATAATTATCACCTGTTGAATATTTGTAATGTGTTGGTGTTTTCCTTCATAGATGCTAAATTTCTAGATTTCTAGAAGTTGTGTGTATTTGGGTGTTAACATGGTCTGTTATCGGTAAAGTCCCCTAATATCCTCAATTTCTCTGTTTTTCCTCCAAGTCAGTGGTTCTCAACCTTTGCTGCACATTAGAATCACCTGAAGAGCTTTAATTAAAAAAAAAACACCCCAATACCCAAGACACACCTCAGATTAACCCAGTTAAACCAGAATCTGGAGGTAGGGGGTAGGGCCTAAGCATTAGTATTTCTGAAGTTTTCTAGGTGATTTCATTGTGAAGATTGATAACTACTACTCTGAAGCCTGACCCTCTGCCCTGAGATTCTGTCTTTCCCTCCTCGTTCTCGATTAATTGTAGCTGATTCTCTCTTACACGCGTTATGCTACTATGCCTGGAATTGTTGTAGGTGTTCTCTTTGCTCTTTCTTGCTACCAAGGAAATTGGCATTCCCTTTCCCTAACCTCTCTCATCCCCAGCTTTGAAACTCATGCCAACAGACTGTAGGACCCACCACTCCCTCCTTGTTGTTGTTACCTAGAGACCTTCATTCTTTGAAGATTTTAGCACATGGCTTGTTACTTGCTCAGCGTTATTGCTCATGTCATGATTCTAGGTGATTTAATATTCATATAAATGATCCTTCCAGCACCCTGGCCTCTCAGTCCCTGACTTCCTTTCCTGCAGTGATCTCGTCTTCCACTCTACCTCAGCCAGGCACACTCTTAGCCAGACCTTGTCAGTACCAATTACAGATCACCTCAGTCATCTCGGTTGCAAACATCCCATTCTCTGACCATACCTCCTGTCTTTTCAATTCATTCTTGTTAGTATCTCAACTGCAGCAATTCTTCCAGTTCAGCAGGACCATTAATCCTTCCACCTTTTCACTAACTCTCACTTCCCTTATGAACTTACTTGGCTTTTTCCTGGCTTAAAGTCCATGCTCCATAATTATAATCATTCTTTGTCAAACCCTCTAAGATCTCTTGCCCCTCTTTCTTTACATTGTACCTTTATTAAATCCAAATTCCTCCTACTCCACATTGCACCCAGGCAATGGAATTTATGCTCATTGGTCTCACTTAAAAATCATACCTCTAACTGCAGTGGGGCTTTTAGTGCTATCTGGAATTCCTCCTGCGTGTCCCCAGTCCATTTATTCTTCTAAATGACTCCTCTGAATGACTATTTCACACTTTCTTCTCAAACTTCTAATGTCCCCTCCTTCTTCCTCACTCTCAGCTGATGACCTTCCTTCGTATTTCAAGAAGATATAAGCTCTCAGGAGAGAACCACCACAAGCTCCTATCACCACACAGAATAACCTGCATTCGGACTCATTTAGTTGACCTTTCCTCTTGTTCCTATGGATGGACCCTCTGTGCTCATTTCCAAGACGAACCCTCTTGGTGATCCCATCCCCATCTAGCCATTTGTTATCTTCTCTCCTGGTATTCTGCCCCCCTCTCTCACATCATCATTATTTCCCCCCTCTCTACACGGACATGCCATCAGACTACAAACATCTGAGCAAAACTTTCCCTTGACCCCACATTCCCCGCTAGTTACAGTTTGAGTTGTCTGTACTAGCTATGTGCAATTTCTTTCTACCTATTCTCTCTTAAACCCTCGACAATAAAGCTTTACTTCACCAGAATAGCACCTGTTGAGGACACTGTTAACATGCATGTCACCAGACCCAGCAGTCAATTCTCAGGCTTCTTCTTACTCATCAACATCATTTGACACAGCTGATCACTTGTTTCACCTTGAAGCACTTCCTTCACTAGGCTTCTGGGATGCATGCTGCATTTTTCTCAGTAGCGTTTATCATCACCTGATATATTTCATTGTTTGTTGATTATTTATTTTGGCCCAGTAGAATGTAAGCTCATTGAGAGCAAGGACTTGGCTTGTTCTCATCACTGCCTAGAACAGTGGCTCATATATAATAGGCATGTGATAAGTATTTGTTGAATGAATGAACATGAGCTGAATAACTACTATGTACTTACCAGATTTTCCCCCATTTCCAGCTCCTTTCCTGATCATAAGCCATTTCCTTCTCTTTTTCTCTGAACCTTGCATTTCCTAACTGTATTTTCCCTTATCTCAACTCCATTCCTATCTTTTTCAGGCTGAACCATCACCATTGTGCTTCTATTTCTGAGGGGCTCTAGTGTTTACAGAGCATTTATTTATATCTGGTATTACAGATGCAGATGGTCTGTGGATCTGAGTTGAATGATATTAGCATGTAATGCTGAATTTAGGTGCAGGTAGAAGAAACATTAAAATTATAACAGAATAAGAAACAAATTAAGTCGTCTAGGGCTAAAATTATGGTGTTTTAGGATATTTAGATTTCTTGTTTTGTCATTACTACCCTACTTTACACTTCACTGTTTCTGCCTACTCATGATGGAATTCCTCCTTGATTTTCTGCAAGGATTTTTAGAAGGCAGGAGAAATCACCAAGCTCAAAAGACCCTTCCAACTTCACACCTGAGTTTATCGCTAATTATGAGTAGTCTGTTCCTCTTAAATTTTCATCACTCTTTTCCTCTGTATGGATGTGCTAATGTGATACTGGATTTGTATGTACATTCCTTTTTAACTGGTCTTTTATTTTTGGCTTCTACAGAACCTTGCCTCCTGGAATCCTTCAAATCCTGAGTGTCTGTTACTTGTGGTGAAGGAACTTGTGCAACAATATCACCAGTTTCAATGCAGCCGCCTCCGCGAGAGCTCCCGCCTCATGTTTGAATACCAGACATTACTGGAAGAGCCGCAGTATGGAGAGAACATGGAAATTTATGCTGGGAAAAAAAACAACTGGGTAAGGTTTTTCGAGACTGGGAGAAAATGTCACTTCATCTGTAATAAATTAAAATAATCAATTCAGATATCCATTTATAGTAAACCCTAGCCATTTCCTTAAATAAGCAGGGTTTATGTTGCCTATATCCTTTCTCATAATTTAGAGTTTGAAGAGACCTTAGTGTTTATCTGGTTCATTGTGTTTCTTAAAGGTATCACTTGGGAAGTTCATAAAATTTGGAGCCTCACATCCCCAGCCCCAGATACGCAGAAGTCAGGGGCAGGGCCTGAGGACCTGCCTGTATAAGAAGCCCCTGTGGAGGTTGTGATGCAGGTGGCTCACAGGCCACATTTTGAGACACTGACAAGTTTCCCTTTCCTTTCAGTGCAGAACTTCTCCAATATCACAGTCAGATAAGAGACATTAGTAACTCTGGAGGTAGCTAGCTTATACGGACCCTTTTACAATTCCTTTACATTGTATGATCCTTTTGAAATGTAGGTCAGATCATGTCACTCCTCTGCCCAGAACTTTCATATACTTCTCTTTGTGTCGCTCATGGTATAAGCCAAAGTCCTCCTAGTGGCTTAAAAAAGCTCTACATGATTCCTGTCACCACCATCTTCCATCCATCATTACTTCTCTCACTTCACCTCCTACTTTCCTGTCTACAGATATTTGACCCAGCCACACTAGCTCCTGTGCTGTGCTGCAGACACGCCGGGTACACTCCTGCCCTAGGTTCTTTGTATATAGCTTTCTTTTTGTTGGCATATTTCTCCTAGATATTTGCATGCCTAATACCCTTCCTCCTTAAAGTTTTTACTCATATGTTATCTTCTCAGCAATGCCTGTGTTAACACCCTCAATTTTTTTTAAACAACTGTGTTGAGGTATAATTTACATACCACAAATTTACCTGTTTTAAGTGTACAATTCAATAATTCTTCATACATTTGCCAAGTTGAGCACCTGCCACCACAATCCAATTTTAGAATGGTTCCATCACCCCAGTAAGATCCCTCATGCACATTTACAGTTAATCCTATTCCCACCTCAGCCCCAGGCAACCACTAAACTACTTTCCGTCTGTATAGATTTTTTTTCATATAGTGGAATCATACAATATGTGGTCTTTTGTGACTGGCTTCTTTCACTTAGCATAATATATTTGAGGTTCATCCATGTTGTACCATGTATCAGTATTTCATTTATTTTGGTGGCTGAATAATATTTCATTGTAGAGACATACCATATTTTGTTTATCCATTCACTAATTGATGGACATCTGGGTTGTTTCCACTTTTTGACTATTATGAATAATGCTGCTATAAACATTCATGTACCTTCTTTGTAATACCCCTTTTTAAAATTGTAACTACCACACCCCTACCTTTACCTTGCACTACATTATCTTTTTTGTATCTCTTTTTAACACACCATATAATTAACATGTTGTATTAATTATATATTGCTGCATAAAATAATCATTCCAGAATTTAGTGGCTTAAAACAACAACAGTTATCATAGTTTTAGTTTGTCAGAAATCTGTGTAGACCCTCTGTTTCAGGGTCTCTCACAGGCTGCACTCAAGTTAGTGGCCAGGGCTGTAGTCATCTCAAGGCTCACTGGAGATGGATCCATTCTAAGTTCATTCTCGTGGTTGTTGGTATGATTCAGTTCCTTGTGGGCTACTGAACTGAGGGTCTTAGTTCCGTGCTCACTGTTGGCTGGAGGCTGCCCTCAGTTCCTTGCCTCTTCACGGGGCAGCTCATAGGATGGCAGCTGGCTTCACCAGAGCAAGTAAGCAGGAGAGAGTGAGAGTATCTGAGCAAGACAGAAGTCACAGTCTTATAATCTAATCTTGGAAGTGACAGCTCATTGTTTTTACTGTATTCTGTTTGTTAAGTCCAGTCTACACACAGGGGAAGAAATACATAAGTGTGTGCATACTAGGGATCACTGGGAGCCACTTAGAAGCAGCCTACCACACTTATTTATTATGTTTATTATTTGTCTCTTCCCACTGGAAAGTAAAATTCCGTGAAGGCAGTGATCTGTGTTCTGTTCACTGATATATCATAAATAACCCAGAACAGTGCCTGCCACATTGTTGACATTCTATAAACATTTGTTGAATGAATGAATTAGTAAACTCTAGTCTACTTAAGCACAGAATAAGTTTAGGTTCCCTTCTCTCTCTTAATTCTTTTAGGTTTCACTTAGTCTTCCCTTTCTTAGATTAAATATGCCTCCTCCTCTTTTATTCTTAAGCATTTTCTTAAAGGATATGGTTTCCAAGGTCTTATACATGATCAGTGCCTTTGAATCAGTAGGATTAAATTTATTCTTGTTACAAATCATCTTGTTTGTTCAGTTCAAGGTTTTGTGCTTTTCTTTGTAAATTTATTTTGTTTATTTTATTGTGGTAAAAGACATAAAATTAAATTAAATTTACCATACCATATCTAAGTATACAGTTCAGTAGTGCTAAGTATGTTCACATTGTTGTGCAACAGATCTCTAGAACTTTTCGTCTTGCAAAATTGAGACTCTATACCCATTAAATGCTGATTCCCTTTCCCTCCAGCTCCAGTCCTTGGCAACTACCTTTCTACCAAAAAAAAAACCCTTTTTTTTATTGAGGTAACATTTGTTTATAACATTATGTAAATTTCAGGTGTACATCATTATATTTTGACTTCTGTCTAGACTATATTGTGTTTACCACCAAAAGTCTAGTTGCCATCCATCACTGTACAAATTTGCCCCTTTACCACTGTCACCCTCTCCCCACCCCCCTTCTGCTGTGGTAACCCCCAATCTGTTCTCTGTATTTATATATTTGTTTGTTGTTGTTGTTTTACCTTCCACATGTGAGGGAACTCATATGGTATTTGGCTTTCTCCGTGTGACTTATTTTGTTTAGCATAATACCCTCAAGGTCCATCCATATTGTTGTAAATGGCAAGATTTCATCTTTTTTTATGGCTGAGTAGTATTCCATTGTGTATATATACCACCTCTTCTTTATCCGTTTGTCCCTTGATGGGCGCTTAGGTTGCTTCTAAGTCTTAGCTATTTGTGAATAATGCTGCAATGAACATAGGGTTGCATGTATCTTTTCGAATTAGTGTTTTTGTGTTCTTTGGATAAATACCCAGAAGTGGAATTTCTGGATAATATGGTAGTTTTATTTTTAATTTTTTGAGAGCTCTGTATACTTTTTTCTGTAGAAAGCCCTAAAGAATCCACCAAAAAACTATTAGAAATAATAAACGAATACAGTAAATTTGGTACAAAGTAAAGCAGGGTGTGAAATCAACATACAAAAGTAAGTCGCGTTTCTATACACTAACAATGAAATAACAGAAAGAGAAATCAAGAATACAATCCCCATCTACAATTACAACAAAAAGAATAAAACACCTAGGAATAAATTTAACCAGGTAGGTGAAAGAAACTGTACACTGAAAACTATAAGACATTGTTGAAAGAAATAGAAGAAGATGCAAAGAAATGGAAAGATATTCCATACTCATGGACTGGTAGAATTAACATAGTTACAATGTCCATACTACCTAAAGCAGTCCATAGATTTTATGCAATCCCTGTCAAAGTCCTAACGATATTTTTCACAGAAATAGAACAAAGAATTCTAAAATTTATATGGAACAACAAAAGACCCCAAATGGCCAAAGCAATCCTGAGAAAAAAGAACAAAGCTGGAGGCATCACACTCCCTGATTGCAAAATATACTACAAAGTGATAGTAATCAAAACAGCATGGTACTGGCAGAAAAACAGACACACAGATCAATGGAACAGACTTGAGAGCCTGGAAATAAACCCACACATTTATGGACAGCTAATTTTTGACAAAGGAGCCAAGAACATACAATGGAGAAAGGAAAGTCTCTTCAACAAACAGTGTTGGAAAAACTGGCCAGCTATGTGCAAAAGAATAAAAGTAGACCATCATTATCTTTACACCATACACAAAAATTAACTCAAAATGGATTAAAGCCTTGAATGTAAGACCTGAAATCATAAACCTCCTAGAAGAAAACATAGGCATTATGCACTTTACTTCAGTCTTAGCGGTATCTTTTTGAATATGTCTCCTCAGGCAAGGGAAACAAAAGAAAAATATAAGCAAATGAGACTACATGAAACTAAAAAGCTTCTGCATGGCAAAAAAACCATCAACAAAATGAAAAGATGACCTACCAATTGGGAGAAGATATTTGCAAAGCATATATCTGATAAATATATATAGAAGTCATACAACTCAACAACAAAAAAACAAACAACCCGATTAAAAAAAGGGCAGAGTATCTGAACAGACGTTTTTCCAAAGAAGATATGCAGATGGCCAGCAGGCACATGAAAAGATGTTCAACATTACTAATTATTAGGGAAATGCAAATCAAAACCACAGTGAGATATCACCTCATGCCTGTCAGAATGGCTATTGTTAAAAAGACAAGAAATAACAAGTATTGGAGAGGATGTGGAGAAAAGGGACCCTTGTACACTGCTGGTGGGAATGTAAAATGGTATAGCCACTGTGGAAAACAGTATAGAGATTTCTCGGCTTTCTGTGTCTATGATTTTGACTTTTTTAGATACTTCATGTAAGTGGAATCATACAGCCTTTCTCCTTTTGTGACTAGCTTATTTTGCTTAGTATAATGTCTTTCAAGTTCATCCACATTGTGGCGTGTGACAGGATTTCCTCCCTTTTTAATGCTGCTTAGTATTCCATTGTATGTATACACCACATTCTGTTTATCCATTTATCTGTCGATGGACATTTGGGTCGCTTCCACCTCTTGGCTATTGTGAATAATGCTGCAGTGTATATGGTTGTGCTAATATCTCTTTGAGATCCTGCTTTGAATTCTTTTGAATATATCCCCAAGAGTGGGATTGCCGGATCACATTGTTAATTCTATTTTTAATTTTTTTTTTTGATGTCGTAATAGTTTATAACATTGTGAGATTCCAGTTGTAC